TTGTGCTTCTGAATATCCTCTCGAAGATTGTAGTCTCCACGAAAGAACTCAACTTTATTTTTCTGTTACAAACCCTGATAGTTTTCGTAGAAAAGGAGGTCAACAAATGACTTCAATTTTGGTCTTGTTTTAGAATTTTGTTGAGGAAGTAATGGAGCTAGTCGAGTTGAATCCGCTAAGGGACTCCCTAGTTGGTCTTCCGGGGGTAGATGGTCTCTCAACTGAACAGAGAAAGAGGCTGACCATAGCCGTAGAGCTGGTAGCAAATCCATCTATTATTTTCATGGATGAGCCGACATCAGGACTTGATGCTAGAGCTGCAGCAATTGTGATGCGAACTGTGAGAAACACTGTGGATACAGGGAGAACTGTTGTCTGCACTATCCACCAGCCAAGCATAGATATTTTCGAAGCATTTGATGAGGTAGTTAGTTAGTCCAAGCAATGTTCGATTTCATATATTGCGAATACCCGTCGTTGTGATGCAACTGCTCTTCTCATAATCATGTCGAACGATTTTCTTGCAGCTGTTATTGATGAAAAGAGGAGGACAAGTCATATATGCAGGGCCTCTTGGTCNAAAACAAGTTAGCAACTAAAGAGCTGTTCTTTTCTCAGTCTGTTCCAGGGGTTCCTGGAGTCAAAGAGGGATACAATCCTGCTACTTGGATGCTGGACATCTCGGCTCCGGCTGTTGAAGCTCAACTTCAAGTAGACTTTGCCGACATTTATGCCAACTCCGAGCTGTATAGGTAATTTAGCATAGGGATCTTTACACAAATATCTGGCTGAATTCACAGTTTAGTTTTCCTAGCCGGTATACATAGATCATACACTGATTATAACTCGGTTATACACATATTATGTATGGATTAAACATCTATTATACATTCACCAGATATTTTTTTTACGCAGTTGTGTGGACGGCTATTTATGTTAATTCTTCAATAGAATATTGAATAGTTGTATTTTTATTTTACTTCTGGTTTGGTATTTACTAACCCTTCGACCTTTGTTACTTGGTTTTCTCAGGAGGAATCAAGAACTTATCAAAGAACTAAGCATTCCTGCACCAGGATCCCAAGATCTTCACTTCCCCACAGAATATGCCCAACCGTTTCTTGAACAGTGCAAGGCTTGCTTTTGGAAACAACACTTGTCCTACTGGAGGCATCCACAGTATAATGCCATTCGGTTTGCTATGACAGCAATGGTAGGAGTAATATTTGGAATCATTTTTTGGAATAAGGGGGACAAAGTGTGAGTCATCTTCCTTGAGTCCTAAAATTAACATTGTGCAATAACTATCTTTCTATTCTGTCATCACTTTTTATCTTATAGACTAATTATGATAACAGGTCCAAACTACAAGATCTGTTAAATCTGGTTGGAGCTATGTATGCTGCTGTTATGTTCCTTGGTGGAACTAATACTTCAGCCGTGCAGTCTATTGTCGCTGTAGAAAGAACAGTCTTTTATCGAGAAAAAGCAGCAGGAATGTATTCTGCACTCCCTTATGCATTTGCTCAGGTAAGACTAACATAAATTGAACATATACTGTACAATTTCTAGAAAATCAATTGGTCGTTGAGAAGTAATTTGTACTTATGCCATATGCAGGTGGCCATAGAGACTATCTATATCGCGATTCAAACTTTAATTTACAGCCTTATTCTGTATGCAATGATTGGATTCCACTGGACGGCTGGAAAGTTCTTTTTGTTCTATTTTTTTGTTTTTATGTGTTTCGTCTACTTCACAATGTATGGAATGATGCTTGTTGCACTCACTCCAAACTACCACATTGCTGCTATCGTAATGTCTTTCTTCCTCAGCTTTTGGAACTTGTTCTCCGGTTTCCTCATTCCAAGAACGGTTAGTAAACAAAGAACTGCATGATCCAAACAGTACTACCTACTAGTATTAGAGTCGCCCATTTTTCTGATGAAATCATATTTTGCAAATGCAGCAAATTCCGATATGGTGGAGGTGGTATTACTGGGCTTCTCCGGTGGCATGGACAATATATGGCCTCGTAACGTCTCAAGTAGGCGACAAGAATAACCTCGTTGAGATACCAGGCGGTGGCGAGGTACCATTAAAGTTGTATCTGAAGGAAAACTTTGGTTTTGAGTATGACTTCCTGGGAGTTGTTGCTGCAATGCATGTTGTTTGGGCAGTTTTCTTCTGCTTTGTTTTTGCTTATGCCATCAAGTTCCTGAATTTCCAAAGGAGATAAGTGAAACTTGAAGTCAGAATAGAAAGTTTTGGGCATACATAGAAATATGCATAAGCTAGGCAAAGAGAGAAGTTTTTGGAGAATTATAATTACTACTCTGATAAATTTCAGAAATTTTTGCCCAGTAAGCTTATTTCAAGGTTGTACAGAAACTATTCTTTTGATTATGTCAAATTTTTCATTTTTTATTTTTGCTGTGTAAATTCCTCTACATGCTGTTTTGTTTTAAAACTCTTTCAACGTTTTAAGTTTTCTCTTTGAGAAAAATGACCATTTTTTCATAGTGAGCAGGTTACCCAATGCGCACCCGAAGGGTAGCGACTGCGGGTTTCCAAGAGAAAACATTCTGGGTTGAAGCTAACTTCTACAACAGATTTTATTTAAGTCCTACTTCTGTGGAGGCAACAGGAAGTCCTATGCCAAGTCTTTTTTTGTAAATATCTAATTTGGCCACCATGGCAAATTTGTTCCTATTAGTAGCTGAGAAACTCTTAGTGATGGATGAATTTTTTTTTTCTTATATATATGTGGGTAAATAATACTTTTCTAGAAAACAAAATGTATATATAAAATAGGTCGACATCCGTAAAAAATAATACAAAGATTGAAAATAACAAAGGTCCTGGACCTAAAGCTACGTACAAGCCGAATTGTGACAATAAGCTGACACTGTTTGAGCAATATCGTGTCAAAATAGCATGGTATAGTCAATTTTCGGACTGGTCAATCAAAAATAGCCACCGTTTACGAAGTCAATGAAAAATAGCCACTATTTTGCTGCAACAGAGATCGGTCCCGTATAATATACGGGAGTTCGGTGCATCTGTGTACGAACTCCAGCATATTATACTGGACCGGTATACTTTGCTGACTCTTGTATAATATACGGGAGACTGGAGCACCGGTGCTCCAAACTCCAGTATATTATACTGGACATTTATACTTGCTGGAACTCCCGTATATTATGCTGGAGTTCTAGTGTACTTATGCTGGAACTCCAACATATTATGCTGGAGTTCCAGCATAGTTATCCTGGAACTCCCGTATAATATGCTGGAGTTCAAGCATACTTATGCTAGAACTCCAGTATAATATACGGGCGTATTTACCGGGTATTGAACAGTGTTTTCGCTCAGATTTATCTTTACATGAAAAATGGCTAAATTTCGATTACTTTTGAAACTGTGGCTATTTTTGAATGACCAGTTATAAATCTGGCTATTTTTAAATTTCTCCCCAATATCGTGCATACACTATTGACAATAAGCTTAGCATGAACTAGAACTTTGGGCCCGCGCTAGAAATTATTTATAATAGGTAGCCGAAAAAGTGTATAAATTTTGTATAATTTTTGTATATAACATACATAATGTGTATATACAAAAAATATAATATTTTTTCCGGCTATTATTTTGAGAACGGCTATATAGTGTCATTTCCTCCCAAAAAAAAATTTAAGCTCCTGTTTGTTTTCCTTTCTTCAAAGGAGACAATAAATTTTCCAAAATATCCTAAAACCCACTCATGTTGCAAAAACAAGAGAGAACATCACTTGTCCCACATGATTAATTTGGAGTAAGGATTTTAGACTTTATAATCAAATGCCAAAAGAAAATAAGTTAAAAAGTGGTTTGTATGTACAATGCCTACTTAAAGTGGATAGTATATAGTATTATATCATGTTATATCGCTATATATTAAAAGCACTAGGACTTTGGTAATTATAGATTTAACTAGTTTGAGGTTGTTTTTGAGATTATTTTAGAGACTTCAACAGTTAGAAACTGAAATAAATAAAGTGTCACCTCTCAAACAAGTTTAAACAGACAGGCAATCCACATAATTCAACATGGGATCAAAGTAAGGTAAGCAGAGGTTCTAGATTCGAGCCACACAATCCTCCATTGACACACTATCCTATTATAATCCTACAAGATAGCAACAGAGCCAGGATTTGAAGCTTATGGGTTCGGCGTTGCAATCCTAGCAACTACTGCAATGTCCTCAGCATTATGAACTTGAAAAACAACTCCATGTTCCTCAAATTGCAACAGAACAATTTGGTGTATGTTAAATTTTAAGAAGAAAGAAAAAACTTATACTTAAGCAACAAACAATACTTTTACCTGTTTGTTGTTCCTCCTCTGGATCTCCCTTTAACTAATTGTTATATAAACTTGAGTATAAGTATCTTCATTTTCCATCTTCAAAATTTTCAAGTAAAAAAGGAATAATACACAGAAGTGCATGTAGTATAGGTTTGCCAATTTTAAATTTTTGCGACTTTAAATCTGTCTGTAATAGCTGAAACTTATAAATTTGAACTCTTACTTACAATCAAGAAAAGACAAAAACTTGAATCTGTTGGAACTCCAAAATCTGACAAAATGTGGTATATATACTTGCATAAATATGATTGCCTTAAAACTCTAAAATACGCATTCTTGGCTTTATTATCATCTGCATACATAGAAACCTCCACTATATATACTTTCCTACTAAGTTCATCCTAATGCAACCCAAGATTTCCCCTTTCTCCTCTAAAGATTCAAGCTCAGCCAGATAACCAAAAGGAAAACAAAAAACAAAACCAAAAAGAAGAGAGAGTTAGATTTCTTAGTTACATTCATATTGGTTCTATTTCATACACTGTACATATTTATGTAAGTTCTCTGATTATTTAGTCCTATAATTTCACTAGATATATTCCATTGAGCATAACTTAAGTGACACATTTTTGTTTTTCCACTATTCTAGAACAGCATTGAAGGAAATATTCAAGAAAACTTGGTCCTGGATAGGGTGAAAAATCTGCGTAAATGGCTGCATCAATGAGGGAAAATGAGCTAGTGAGGTCAATGAGCAAAAAGGCAAGTTTTGGATCAGCAAGTAGAAAAGGATCATGGGCTTCAGCAAGTATTCGCGACGCGTTTGGTGCACCAGGAGTGGATGTTTTCGCGAAAAGTGGGAGGCAAGATGATGAAGATGAACTTAAATGGGCTGCAATTGAAAGGCTTCCAACTTATGATAGAATGAGGAAAGGAATTTTAAAGCAAGTATTGGATAATGGAAAAGTTGTTCATGAACAAGTTGATGTAGCACATATGGGAATGCAAGAAAAGAAGCAACTTATGGAGAGTATATTAAATGGTATTGATGAAGACAATGAGAGATTCCTTCTCAGGCTTAAAGATCGTATCGAAAGGTGAAAAAAATACATGAACTGTTTTTTCAGCTTTTTCAAGAATCTAAATCCTTATTGTTTGGAGTAAAAAGCATGAGATAATAAACTTTGTCAAACAGGGTTGGGATAGACATTCCAAGAATTGAAATCAGGTTTGAGCATTTGTCAATTGAAGGAGATGCATATGTTGGCAGTAGAGCACTTCCAACACTATGGAATTCAACCATCAATTCATTAGAGGTAGTTAAAATTTGCATTATTTGAATTGTTTGTATATCGAAGATATTAAAGGCAGCCCGGTGCACTAAGCTCCCGCTATGCGTGGGATCCGAGGAAGGGCCGGACCACAAAAGTCTATCGTACGCAGCCTTACCTTGCATTTCTGCAAGAGGTTGTTTCCACATCTCGAACCCGTGACCTCCTGGTCACATGGCAGCAACTTTACCAGTTATGCCAAGGCCCCCCTTATGTATATCTAAGACATTATTCAGAAGATATCTATTCAAGTAATGATACTTAAGTTTAAGGATTACTCTTTGTATTTTGATGTCTAATAGGGAATTCTTGGTCTTTTGAGGCTTTCGCCGTCTAAGAAGAAATCTATCAAAATACTGGATGACATTTCTGGAATTGTAAAATCATCAAGGTATGATGACTTTGTTCTAATATTTAGGCCTCCTTTTATAATATCTTTTGACATATTTGAGTTTCTGACCATTTGTTATCATTGTTTTTTGTTAAAAATTTGAATTCCTATTATTAGGATGACACTGCTTCTTGGACCTCCAGCCTCTGGCAAAACTACATTGTTGAAGGCACTTGCAGGAAAACTGGAGCAAGATCTTAGGGTGTGTATTTTCCTTAAAACATATCAGTCTTGGTGTTCTTTAAACGGACACCCTGATAACATATTGTCATATTAATGTAGGTAAAGGGAAAGATCAGTCACTGCGGTCACGAACTCAAAGAGTTCATACCTCAGAGAACTTGTGCTTATATCTGCCAACATGATCTTCATCATGGTGAGATGACAGTAAGAGAGACATTAGACTTCTCGGGTCGCTGCTTGGGAGTTGGTGCCAGATATGAACTGCTAGCAGAGCTCTCGAGACGAGAAAAAGATTCAGGAATCAAACCGGATCCTGAGATAGATGCATTCATGAAAGCCATATCAGTAGCTGGACAAAAGACCAATTTGGTCACTGACTCTATTCTCAAGGTCTGCATTCCCCTCCTATAATATGAAGTTCCATTTTTCTTCCACCTATGTTAAAGTGACTAACAAGATTTCTGCACCAGATACTTGGATTGGATATTTGTTCTGATACAATGGTGGGTGATGAAATGAGAAGAGGTATTTCTGGTGGGCAAAAGAAGCGTGTAACGACAGGTATATGATGAGTTAAACTAGTTGGTTTCCATCATTACTTAATTCTGATGTGATAACATATTATTAAAGGTTGCTATTGGATATAAATGCAGGAGAAATGTTGGTTGGGCCTGCGAAAGTTTTCTTGATGGATGAAATCTCGACTGGTCTTGACAGTTCAACAACATTTCAAATTGTCAAATATATGAGACAGATGGTTCATATTATGAATGTGACAATGATAATATCTCTACTTCAGCCAGCCCCGGAAACCTTTAATCTATTTGATGACATTATCTTGCTTTCAGAAGGGAAAATTGTCTACCAAGGTCCACGTGAAGAGGTTCTTGAGTTCTTCGAAAGTGTTGGATTTAAATGTCCTGAAAGGAAAGGAGTTGCGGATTTTCTTCAAGAGGTTACTTCCAAGAAAGATCAAGAACAATACTGGTCCAAAAAGAATGTTCCTTATCAATATGTATCAGTACCTGACTTTGTTGAGCACTTCCAATCTTTCCATATCGGCCTAAAGCTTTTCGGTGAAGTTCAAGTTCCTTATGACAGAAGTAGAACCCACCCTGCAGCATTGGTGAAAGAAAAATATGGTATCTCTAACAAAGAACTTTTCAAGGCATGCTTGTCAAGGGAGTGGTTGCTGATGAAACGAAACTCCTTCGTCTACATTTTCAAGACTGTTCAGATCACAATCATGGCTATCTTTACATTCACTGTATTCTTTAGAACGAAAATGAAGCACGGTGAAGCAGAAGATGGAGGAAAATTTTATGGTGCTCTGTTTTTCAGCCTTCTCAACGTGATGTTCAATGGCATGGCTGAGCTTGCAATGACTATCTTCAGGCTACCTGTCTTTTTTAAACAGAGAGATGCTTTGGTTTACCCAGCTTGGGCTTTTGCTCTTCCAATTTGGCTCCTTAGGATCCCCGTCTCGCTGATGGAATCAGGAATATGGATCCTTCTCACATACTACACTGTTGGATTTGCACCTGCAGCTGATAGGTATGTCCACTATATAGCATGTTTGGCCGTGCTTCTAAAATCAGCTTATTTTGAAAAGTGTTTTTCAAAAATAAAAACTTTTGAGCAGCAATTATATTTGGTCAAGTTTTTAAAAAGTGCTTCTAAATGTATTTTTCTCAACAGTACTTTTCAAAAAAGTGTTTTTGGGAGAAGTTAATTTTTCTGCTTCTCAAAAACTGCTTCTGCTTCTACTCAGAAGCACTTTTTTTCCTTCTAAAAGCTTGGCCAAACACCTTAACTTTGGAAAAAAACATTTTTGGCCAAAAAGAAGCACTTTTGGCCGGAAAAAAAAACACGACCAAACAGGCTAATAGTCTCATTTGATAGATCCTATAGCTGACAGTGTCAGATTTTCAAAGTTCACTAACAAGTTCATCAACTTAAACAGGTTTTTCCGGCAGTACTTGGCCTATGTTGGTATTCACCAGATGGCGTTGGGACTCTTCCGTTTCATTGCAGCGCTTGGAAGAACACAAGTTGTGGCCAACACCCTTGGTACCTTCACATTGTTGTCAGTTTTTGTCCTTGGTGGATTTATCATTGCCAAAGGTTAGCAACTGAAAGATATATTAGCTAATGAAGTAAAACTAGTTAATCATTCAAAGATTGGAATTTCATCATACTGTGATTCTGATATAAGCAAATTGGTTGTTCCAATAGATGACCTCCAACCTTGGATGAAATGGGCCTATTACCTTTCCCCTATGTCATATGGACAGAACGCTATAGTTCTTGTTGAATTTCTTGACAAAAGATGGAACAAGGTAAATTAGCACAGTTACATCTTAGATATTCATTTTTTATCTCTATCTTTAGATATTCTAAGAATATGTTGCTCTCTTTCAGCCCAATGAGGATCCAAGCTTTCCAGGAAAAACAGTTGGAATAGAGCTTCTTAAAGCCAGAGGGATGTTTACAGATGACATTTGGTACTGGATTTGTGTCATTGCACTTTTCGCGTTCTCATTGTTTTTCAACCTTTGCTTCGTTGCAGCACTCACGTACTTAAAACGTAAGAGATGAGACATGGTAGTGATTTTCTCACTAGGCTTGGACACTATCTTTTGGTTTTGACCGGATTTTAAAACTTGATATCAGCTCTTGGAGATACTAAATCTATTATGGTGAATGAAGAACACAGTCAATACAAGGAAAAGAAGATGAAAGTAATACCAGATGAAGGTTCAAGATTAAGACCATCTCTTTGTTTCCAAGAATTTGAATTATATGTATCAAAGAATGCTGGTGAAGTGCTTCATCTGCTTATTTATCTGTTTTGATGTGTCAGGAAAGAACACTTCAGAAGATGTAAAATCAAATGGTGCAGATAGTGCAACCAACAAAAAAGGCATGGTTCTGCCATTCCAGCCTTTGTCCCTTTCATTTGAACATGTGAATTACTATGTCGATATGCCTGCTGTAAGTTCTTATCTCTTCTCCACTTATTAGAATCTAACGGTTTAAAATTTTGTTTCTCTTCTTCAATGAAGCCTGCATCCACTATTGCATGTATATAAACAAAATTCCTAACTGGTCAATGAATGATGTCTGTATCAGGAAATGAAAAGTCAAGGAATTGAAGAAATGCGACTCCAGCTTCTACGAGATGTGAGTGGTGCCTTTAGACCAGGTGTGCTAACAGCATTAATGGGTGTGAGTGGTGCTGGAAAGACTACTTTGATGGATGTTTTAGCTGGAAGGAAAACTGGTGGATACATTGAAGGGAATATCTGTGTTTCTGGTTATCCAAAGATCCAAGAAACCTTCGCTCGAGTTAGTGGCTACTGTGAACAAAATGACATTCATTCTCCACATGTCACTGTTTATGAATCTCTTCTATATTCTGCCTGGTTGCGTCTTCCTTCAGATGTCAACAACGAAACTCGAATGGTATAGCTTTAGATTTTCTTTGGTAGAATGATGATGTCTATCAAAATATGTTTAGTACCTTTCTTTTCATCCACTGAGAAAGCATTGACGAATCCCTCGTTTGGTTCAGATGTTTGTGGAGGAAGTGATGGAGTTGGTTGAGCTTACATTATTGAGAAACTCTCTAGTTGGACTTCCAGGAGTTGATGGTTTATCGACTGAACAAAGAAAGCGGCTTACTATAGCCGTGGAGTTGGTTGCTAATCCTTCGNGGCAAAGGAGGAAAATTGTGAGTCATTTTCCTAAAACTTGAATTACTAAGCTTCAATTTTCAGCACTGAAAGTGGATCAACTCTTAAACGAGCTATTCTTTCTATCAGCGAAAAACAACAGGACCTTTCAAATCTAATGGGAGCAATGTATGCTGCTGTTCTGTTTCTTGGAGGAACAAACACTTCTGCTGTTCAATCTGTTGTGGCTATTGAGAGAACAGTCTTCTATCGCGAAAGAGCAGCAGGGATGTTTTCAGCCTTACCATATGCTTTTGCTCAGGTATATGAACTGACCATCTAGTTCATATGGATTGTAAGCATCGGTTATGCCAACAAAGTCAAGCTCATTATTTGTTCCTTTACAGGTGACTGTGGAAACAATCTATGTCGGAATCCAAACTTTCCTTTACAGCCTAATTCTTTACTCAATGATTGGATTTGAGTGGCAAGCTGACAAGTTCTTCTGGTTCTATTACTACGTGTTCATGTGCTTCGTCTACTTCACACTCTACGGAATGATGCTTGTAGCTCTCACTCCAAATTATCAGATAGCAGCAATTGTCATGTCTTTCTTCCTTAGCTTCTGGAACCTCTTCTCTGGTTTCCTCATTCCTAGGATGGTAAGTGAAATCTTGATATCCCAATTATTCTTCCTTTCATAAACTAAAAAAAAAAAAGGCAGCCTGGTGCACTAAGCTCCCACTATGCCTGGGGTCGGGGACGGGCCGGACCACAAGCAGAGGCGGATCCAGGATTTAATGTTTATGGGTTCGTGTAACGACCTCGAGTAAATTTTCAGTAGTAACTGGATTCACATTCAAACATTTATAGATATTTAGTGAATTTTTGGAACATATTTACACTGTTTGGACAAAAGTTATTGGGTTCACGTGAACCCGTAGGTCGCAAGCTGGATCCGCCCCTGACCATAAGAGTCTCTATTGTACGCAGCCTTACCCTATTTCTACAAGAGCCTGTTTCCATGGCTCGAACTCATGACCTCTTGGTCACGTGACAACAACTATTAATCTAATATTTGACATGTTTATACTATGTTGCAGCAAATTCCAATATGGTGGAGGTGGTACTACTGGGGTTCACCAGTTGCATGGACAATATATGGTCTCATTACATCTCAATTGGGAGACAAAACAGAACCTGTTCATGTTCCTAGTCATGATAATGCCCCTAGTTATCTTCCATTGAAGGATTACCTCAAGGAATATCTTGGTTATGATTTTGACTTTCTTGGTGCAGTTGCTGCAGCACATCTTGGTTGGGTGCTTCTATTCTTCACTGTCTTTGTATATGCCATCAGAGTTCTCAACTTCCAAAAGAGATAAAATTCAAGAAAACCTCCAAGTTTGAATTGTTCAGCTCTATACACAACTAGTTCTACTGTTCTTTTCTTCATCTCTTTTACGATAATTCAAGGGAAATAATGTAGGTAGCATTGTGAAATAATGTATGTAGCATTTATCATCTTGTTCTTGTTTGCAGTAATTGTAAATTTTCATTCTTCCAAATTTGTACTAATTGCTGTTATTTATATGAAACAAAAAACAAAGTTCATTCAACTAGTACTGATATTGCATACATTTTTCGTCTTCTGCTCGGTTTCAAGCTTAATATTTAAGCTTATTTGAAAATAAATAAAACTCTCTCTTACATTGGATTAAGCATTGCATCGTTTCCTCCTCTGTGTGCTTTGATTTCAAGCTTAATTTCTGAATTTCATTGGGAAACAAATGAATCAACTCTCTTATTTTGGATAGGATTTAAGTTATACATATATACTAATTATTTAAAGACATTTTACAACTATCAGTTATCACTAAGTGATTGCAAGTTAGTTACTATTTTTACCATTTAATGAGATTGTGAAAATATTTTCTGCACCTGCAATACATAGAACTTAAACTCGGAGAGGATATTGATCAACTTCAGCCTCGACTACTGAAACATAAACATTTACTTTCCACTAATTTCCTGTCAATTCTAAAATGAATATAGAAGAGACTAGTTCAAGGCCGTTTATAGATGTTAACCAAAATAAGCACAGATTAAAAAGATGGGAAAGGTAACTGATGAACTCCATCGACCATGCAATCTTCAAGAAAAAAGGGGTTTTGGCTTACCCCTGTTATGTGCTTGATTTGCACCAAAAGTTTTACAAATGCAATCGACAGCACAAATGTAGCAAAAGAAAAGCCATAATAAAGCAATAAGAGAAGTAGCATAAGCTTGCATAAAGGTTCTGGAGTTTGACAAAAGCTGTGGATATGAACAGAGTTTTACACAATTCACAATCCTTTAGTTTTCTTTGTACCTTTCTTCCATCCTCCTATCTACACTGATTTCTTTCTGATTTTTTGTGTTCCAAAAGGTCGACGGCTGGAGGGGTTCTCCCGAGCTGCAATGAAAACTTTAACCCTTAATCTCCCTCAACAGGGTTGACAGGAGCATCTACAAAATCATGAATCTCCTTTTTACTCTTGATTAAACATTTTCTTTTGGTGTCATTATCAACTTTATCCAAGTCTTCCGCTATTCCCAAGTAACCATAGAGCAAAAGTTCCTCAACTTCATCCCCCTTCACGTTTCTGTTCATGCCTTTGCCCTTGGAAGAAGTTGCTATTCCAAAGTCTGTCCTTCCACGTTCTTCTCCCATGAAGTAGTAATGAAGCTTTTCTGCATCCTGAAAGCCAGGAATAGTGCCCAAGAACTTCACCAGTAATACACTACCATTACCAGGCTTCCCCAAACAAACCTTCATTCTACCACCGCTATAACCTTTACCTGCAGTTGAAGAGTACAGAGAAGCGAGAATATTGTCATCAAACACAATGATACAAAGACGTCAGCTCTCTAAGAACAACTGAAAGAAACTTCCTAATCTGCAGAATACGTAAATGAATTGCTACTGATATTAGATGAAAGCAGGGCATCACCCTTCTCATAATAACATCCCCCTCTTGAGGCACAAAACTCAAAACCAGATAAACCAAAAAGTTGTACAACACACGCACCTCTCAGAAAGTCCTCCACAGCTTCAGTAGTCGTGACTTTTCGCCTATCTAGGCCAGTTACCAAAACAGAGCAGTTATGTATAACAACCACTGGTGGCCAAAGAATAAGATCTTCTTTTTGGGCTAAAGCAGTAGGGGCAGGAACAGCCACTGGCGCCCATAATTTTCCCTCAGGGGGTGCATCATTGTTCCACCCCATTAGGACACATATTGCATTGTGAAGACCCAAGTGTTTTGCTTTCAACCCCAACTTTTTTGACATAAAACAATGTTTCGCCAAGGCTCGAGTATCTGTGAACTCTTTTGATTGACTGAGAAAGTACAATTATTTAGCAATTGCAAGATAAAAGTAGTACACGGCAATATATACAAGATAAATTCGGAGAACTAATTGGGCCATGCAAAAATGTCCATGTGAAGACAAAACAAAAAGTGATATCACCAACCTACTCCAGCACAAAAAAGAAACATTCAAAAGTCAGGAGGACAACAGGGTATCAAGCATCCTTATCTGACTAGGCGGTTCCAAACTGAGTCCTTGGCGTGTACTAACCAACAGAACCAAAACAGCTTAAATCTCCTCAGGAACTACATCTTCAGAAGCCTATAACTATATCTAGCTTTTGTTTTATTTTATTGCTATAGCCTATGAAGTTTGTTTTTCTTTTCCTTTATTATATCTTGGCGGCACAGTATTTCCATAACCTTGTTTGTACTTTTTAATGTGAGCTTGCTCATACTTCTATATCTTAATAGAATCTGCAGATTCCTCTTACAAAGAACAATGTATTCAGCTGCTTATTACAATAGTGGAAAAAACATAAGCATACAGAGTATGATGTCCAGAAGAATTTGACCACAATTAGAACTAAAAACTACCCCAAGTACTTGAATAAACTTTGTCCATCTGCAGAAGAAAAAATGGATTTAACAGAACCTTCTTCAGTTTCAAATTTTATCTTCTTCTTGCTGCCACAATAACTTTATTTTTTTGAATCAGTAACACATTCATATCTTTGATAAAGAAGCAAGTGCACGGTTATGCACAACTTTTGTCTCCACATATTCTAGAACAGCAAATGGATCTTTGTTCCATTTCTCCAACATAAAAAATAAAAAAGAGATGAATTCCTAGACCCCTTTTGCTGCCATCAGTTCAAAGTAGGACAATGCTTATAGTTGAAGTTCAAGACGCAAAAGATTTAGATACGTTTTTCTATAACTGCTTTCTATTTTCTGAGAGGAGTACCCTGCAAATAAATGTTTTCTATTTTCTGATCGGGTTTCCAGGAGAAATAGAGCACTACCAATGTCTTTCCAGCCTACCATTTCACACTCAAAATCATTTTTTTAGAAAGGTTCTGGACCAGTTTGATCACTAAAACCAAACCCTCAATTGAAACTTCATGTAATCCTGTTAAGTTCAAGGAAAATTGAGAGAAGAAAGGCAGGTTTTCAAGAATCTGATATTGAGTTCCGTATCAAATAGAATTTGATATTGATCTGACCAAAGCATAGAAATGGATTGAAGCAACTAAGATTTGACCATCCTCATAGAAGTTACAGAATATATGTTAACGATGTTACAGTTCTGCTGGGTAATTCCCATAATTCACCTGATCAAACAATATCCTATGAGTTTTACATAATAAGAACTGAATAATTGGCAGAGAGAACGAAAATATTTTCTGATTTGGACCCATGTCATTTTTGATAAGGTAAATTGTATTAATCAAAAGGAAGAAAACTCCCGTATACAAGAAGTATACCAAAAAGTAGAGAATTTACATCAAAACATGATTCTCTACAAAAGACGCCCAATCTTCTATACAAGTAGGGGCTATATGAGTGCACCAAAAAGCGATCAAAGGTAAAAGACTATTTTTAAGATGTGAAAAAGGAGACTCAATCCCCTCAAAAGCTCTCCTATTTCTCTCCCCCAAACTATCCACATGAGAGCTAACGGGGCGAAAAAATTCCACGCCTTTTGCTTTCTTCTTCTATGGAAACCAGCCCAGCTATATAACATTTCCTTTACAGTTGAGCATCAGCATAATTTGTAATTCCATTTAATAATAATAATCCAAATAAGCTACTAAAAGATAGAAAAACCAATTTCGAGAATTCAAAATAAATTTATGGAACATGAATCTTGAACAACGTAAATGACCAGATGTAACGGTATTCTCGATATGAGAGAGAATGCCACATAGTGATTCAACTAGAACCATACTTGATTCTGCATGCAACACAATTTCACAGAAGCGATTATAACCTAGTTAAAGAAATTCATAACATGTGACATTTTGAAGCAACCAAATAGCAACATATTATATTTATACTAATAAGCCATAAGCTTAAAGTTCAAACACTAAAAAGGAGACAGACCTCTTGGGACAAACAATGCAGTATAAGCCACCAGCCCTCCCTTGCTCCTTGTACCTTTTCTGAGTAGAAACACTCTCACTCAACTTTTTGGTGGAATATAGGAAGAACTTATTTACCAGTTGCTTAAATTCAAGTGAGTCTTCAGGCAACTCAGTTTTTGCACAAGTTACCTGATCCTTTAACCCTTCAACTATGTGGTCAGATCCTTCTGTTTTTTTATCATCTTTGCCTCTTATCCAAACATTTTTTGTTAGATGGTGTTTCCTATTACATTGAATTGAAACATTAGGTCTCAGTGAACTGGGATTCTCATGCACCTTTTGCTTTTTACCAGGATTATATGGTCTAATAAGGTGCCTCTGCCCCTGATTTATTGAACTGTGATACGACAATAAGCCATCAGCGCTAGTAACTCTACCGTAAAGGTCCCCTCTGTATGTCTTTTCTGCCTTTCTAAACCATTTGTCATCCTCAAAGCTCTCAGGTGACAGTAAGCCACTGCTGTCTTGATCATCCCACACCTCGTTTCTACAATCTAAATCTTGATTTCTGGTAATGTTTTTCTTCCATTTACTGCACACAACCTGTCTAGACTTATGCCCCATTGTTTCTTCATCTAATGTGTATTTCCTTTTTACTGACCTAATTGGATAACAATCGGGGCCAATTACACCTGATTCAATTTTCTTTAATTGTATCCTATCTCCAAGCATTTCCATTTCATGTTCATGCCGTGGTGATCTCCTCCACCTCTCAACATAGGATATATGATGTCCATCCTTGCTAGTATGGTAATCCAGTCGCCTACGAGGAATCTCTTCATGACAGGGAACATCCAAATTTTCTATGTCTGATTCTCTTACATTTCGCATATCAACATTAATATCACCAGGATCCACATAAAACTGACCTTGGCTTGATCTCACTAATGATCTGGCATCCAGAAGGTTCATTGAAACTGATTGTTTGGTCAATGAATGGTGATCCCATGAACTGCTGTTAATGACATCTCTTCGAGGAAACTCAGCATAATCAGTATTCTCTCTAAGGGGTTCCAAATAAATTGGTGCCCGAGCATGCCCTTTGTCAAGTACTGCTTGTCCAAGCATACTAGTTCTTTCATATGAATGATCATAATCGCTAATATCTCTTGGCCTACCTTTAGGATATAAACAATCCATATTGTCACCCGTAGGCGGACTAACTTTATCATACTGGTAGCTTGTCCGTTCCTTATGCCCAGCTGCATATTCTTCAAGGGTATTATAACTGTGATTTTCACCATATTCATTCAGATATGATGGTTGTCTAAGCTTTGTGGAACTCCTTGAATGAATATCCCCAAGCAAATGCATATCATCTTGAACCACAGGGGCATAATTCATCCTAGAGATTCCAGAGGATGTGGTCACACGTTCCTTATACTGAGAGGAGGCAGCAAGATCCTTAGACCGGGATGCTGACTCCAAGTAGTGTGAAACATCCTTGGGATGAAATCTAGATCTTTCCTCTCTTTCAATCATTTCAATTGCCGACAATTTATCAAGGAAAGGATCAGGATAATGAGCAACCTCATCCCCAAGCCTAATCTGTTGGGGATGCACATGGACCGATAAAGGCCTCCTTGCAGTCTCCACATATTTTGAGGTAGATTGAGGGTCAAAGGGCAAAGTATGACCTCCTCGGCTCGACCCATCTTCCAATTCCAACAGTTTCTGTCTGTCCAACCCATGATGATGCATACTACCCAAAACTCTCTCGCGATTCACATTACGGCCTTGAACACTTCTAGCACTATCATATTCATAATCATAATTTACACCACTGCCTGCAGCTTCATATCTGTCCTCATCATCAAAGAACTCATCATATCTTCTCCTTGTCTCATCCCTACTACTCAAAGAAGCCTGATAATGATGTCCAGGCTTCTTCTCATGCCCTTGTCGATAAGCAAGCGACTTCAACTGAGGCTGCATTTTGTTAACTCTATCACTAAATTCTTCATTCCTCTCCACCAACCCACTCCTAGATTCAGGCTTCATTATATCACCTCTATAACTAAAATCTTCATCTCTTTCCATTAATCCACTCCTCAACTGGGGTTCCATTATATCACCTCTATCACAAAAATCTTCATCTCTTTCCATTAATCCACTCCTCAACTGAGGTTCCATCATATCACCTCTAATACTAAAATCTTGATCTCCATCCCCTAACCCATGCCTCAACCGGAGCTCCACTATATCACCTCTATCACTAAATTTTACCTCTCTTCTCATTAATCCACTCTTCAACTGGGGTTCCATTATATCACCTCTATCACTAAAATCTTGATCTCTATCCATTAACCCGCTCCTACGCCAACTAACTCGACGGGGCCTTTCCTCTCTTTGAAGGCTCGGGCTCAGACTCCTCGGCCTATGTGAAAACTGTTCCATTCCCCCACTATGAGGCATGCAGTAAGGCTCAGAACCCAATTCAACTCCATGATCATGCATTCTTAACCTCTCAACCCTATAGGCTCGTCCTGCAAAATCATCATGCTCAACGCGCCCCATTTATTTTATTTTTTTCCTTCAGGGCTACTACAGTAAAAGACAAGTGTTCCCTAGTTAATACAGGGGGTTGGGGTGGGGTGGGTGGTGTAAGGGGAGAGTGATCGTATACACAAAAAATCACTTCCAGTAACACATTGAAGAAGCTACAGCATCAGCAATATCCGTTCGTTTTTTCCCCTTTTTGCTTTTTTTCAACTATAATCTACTGGAATACTAAATTGCTCCATATATTTACGTAGTCGTTTTCTCTTTATAAGAACAGACTTTTATCTAAACCCTAACCCTAACCTAGTGAGAGTTAATAAGACTTATTAACCTTTACTTCATACACGAATAAGGAAGATCAATATTGAACCTTGGATAGTGAAGTGAAGAGACGCCATGAACGGTTATAGTACAGATTATCAACCGGAAAATTGTTAGCGGATTTGAGGAACTTTCTTTTTTTAATCGGATTTGAGGGAACTTCTTTATTTATAGGGTACAATTTTTTTTTTGGTCAAAAGTATTTGTTTAAATTTAAGATAGTTGACCGCTTTTAGTAGGAAAAAGGAGTGCTCTATACAAGTGGAAAAAAATAATTTTTTCCAAAAATATTTTTTTGATAGTTCTTTTGAGATATATTTAGAAATATTTTTTAAAAGTTTGGTTAAGTATTAATTATTACTTAAAAATATTTTTTAAATTAATTAGTCAAACACAAATTGTTTCTCATCAAAATTACTTTTTTGAGAAAAATACTTTTTAATATAAATTAATTTTAAAAACTTACCGACTATTAAAGTACTAATTGAGAACTAATTGCTGTAGAATTGGGAGCATCCCCACTCTATATAAGTGCCTAGGCCCTAGTGCCTTAATATTAAAAAAAAAGGAAGAAATTTTGTCTTAAGAATCTAACTATACCCCTTAACTTTGCTAAACAAACTAAATAATGAAACTGCTAAACAGATGCTCTTTGAATTTGCTATTTACAAATTCTCGTGAAAAAAGAAATTGCTATTTAAATAATCAAGCCTAATATGTGTTGTAAAAATTATAGGTAAGGTTGAATTCACACAAATTTGAAAACTTTATATGGTCTATAGTTTCAAAGAATATTTATGGTAGACTATAGTTACGAAAGAAAATTAATAATAGAATAAGGGGTATAAGAAGCTATAAGAGTGGTATAAAAATTTAATACCATCTTAATACTCTGTTTAGTTAGCAAACCAGGTATAAGTTATTCCGGTGTTAATTTTAACACTGGGATAACTTATACCTTATAGAAGGTGGGGTAATTAGCACCGATATAACTTATACCTTCTTTCTTAGAAATTATGCAATTGGCATTCTTAATACAACATATCAAACAATGAATAAACAACAATCCCAGCATAACTTATCCAAATATAACTAATACCGACATAATTTATACGGGTATAAATCATATTCCAACCAAACGACCCATAAGTGAAATACAAACGTCTGTCTGTAGTACGTACTCCTAAAAAATTTTGATTCATCTGGTTATATAGCGTCGGGGACAATCTAAAGAGTGGTCAAAATCTAAAGAGTAGTCTCAAAAGGATCATTTGTGAAAATCGGGAGAAATTCAAAAATAACAAAATTTACAAGCGGTCATTCAAAAATAACCACAGTTTCAAAAGTAATTGAAATTTAGCCACTTTTCATGTAAAGATAAATCTGAACGAAAACATTGTTCAAAATCCGAAAATTCCAGCATAATATACTGGAATTCTAGTATAAATATATTGGTCCAACATAATATGTTGGAAGTTCATATACATGTGCTCCAATCTCCAGTATATTATGCTGCAACTTTCCGCGTGTTGGAGTTCCAGCATAATATGCTGGAAGTTCATACACAGGTGTACCGATCTCCAGCATATTATGCTGGAACTTTTCATGTTGCAGCAAAATAGTGGCCATTGTTTAATGACTTTGCAAACACTGGCTATTTCTAAATGACCAGTCCGAAAATTGGCTATTTCTAAATAACCAGTCCGAAAACTGGCTAGCCNTCTGTCCTTAACTTTTAAACCTGCATGTCAAACTTAAAGACTCATGTCCTTATCTTTTAATCTTTGAACTCAAAAGAAACAAAAACAAGGTAAGAAGAAAGAAATTACTGTACGTAATTGAGACATCTGCTCAAAAATTCAGAACTTGAAAATTTTGATGATGCAAAAGGAACTATTGTACGTATTGGTAAAAGAAATAGTGAAGCAAAATCAGAAGGATCTCGTGATGGACCTGGTTATGTCCTAGTAATTGGGGCTACTAATAGACCCGATGCTATTGACCAAGCATGAAGGAGGCCGACCGTGAAATCACCTTGGGTATTCCAGATGAAAATGCAACGCGAAAGAGAGGAAGAAAAGGTAAAATTGTCTTTTTTCTATTAGTAGTGGCTATTTTTGCTGAGCATTATAATTAGTGGATAAAAACTAAAGACACCCTTAATTAGTGGCTACTACACGCCATTTTTACCACTATTTTTACGTGAAAATCGCCAATGTTAGGCCCAGATACATTAGCCAAAAGCCCACAACATTGTAACCCACATAATATGCCCACCCGGTTGGCAAGTCAAAGTCGGATCGGATCCAGTAGGAAAGTCAGCATCTTCAGCTCATACGAATTCAGCTGATCAACTGAGAGAGAGAGAGAGAGAGAGAGTGAAAATGCATTACTGGATTCGAGCATCTTCTTCGGATTTCGCCGGAACGATTCCACAACCTCGAAGGTAAGATAAAATTTTGCATTTCAATCTGTCTTCATTTGTGTCTGAATCATTTGAATTTGATGCTAAATACGAAACTTTTGTTGCCAATTATCAGTGGACACACTGCAGTGAACATTGGGAAATCGAAAGTTGTGGTGTTCGGCGGACTACTTGACAAGAAGTTCCTTAATGACATCACTGTCTATGATATTGGTAAGTTGATTCCCTCCTAATCAGCTGCNCAACTTTGAATTTTATCTTTTTTGAAACAAAGCAATCATTTCAACTACAATTTCACATTCTTCTCACTAGCACGAATACTATTTTGATTTATAATTAACCAATTTGCATAAGTCTCGCCAAAATGATATTACATAAGTCAAGATGTCGTATTAGTAATAGGAAATGATAGTAACCCATTTATTTTGAAAGATCAGCATAGTAGTGGCAAAATGGTTCAAAGAAAACAGTTAACCACCCATATTATCACTAAAAAATGGGTTGGATAATGAACTTTTTAAAAACGGATCAAATATGGATAAGAACCATATTATCCATTTAGAAAATGGATAACCAATGGGTCTAGCTTTTACATTTATAAAGCCTCAAATTAGCGGTTCCTCAAGTTAGGAAGACTAAGAATTCTCCCAAAAGTGATCATATGCAAGAAGTCGTGAATAATATGGTTACCCATATTATCCGCCAGTTAGCCTATTTTTTATCCGTATTAAATATGAATCGGGTCGGATAATTTATCCGTTTTTTCATTACCCGCCTTCGACCTGAGCCATATCCGATCCGATCCGCCCATTTGCCACTCTTAGATCAGCATAATACTCTCAGTTTTATGTTTATGTGATTCTATTAAACTCTCCATTTTATAAAATAATAAAATGTCAAACTAGTTTATTTTAGAAAAAAAATTAAAGAAAAAANTAGTAACCCATTTATTTTGGAAGATCAACGTAATACTCTCTCAGTTTTATGTTTATGTGATTCTATTAAACTCTCCATTTTATAAAATAATAAAATGTCAAACTAGTTTATTTTAGAAAAAAAATTAAAGAAAAAAGAAAAAAAAATTAATTGGGGCGGGGCGGGGCAGGTTGAAAACTGAAAAAATAACTAGGGGGAGGGGGGTTGAAATTTTTGTGGTTTTTGCTGCACCCGCCCCGCCCCATTGCCATCCCTATTAGTATTTAAACATATCATTTGGCGGAAAGCACTAATAGTTTAAAGACTTTTGTACAATTTCAGTAAATTTTAACCTGTGATAGTAGATTAATTACCCATTTTACTACATTAACAGTTAATGCTTATCAAGAGATTGACTTGTAATTACGGTATACATGATGTGATTGTGTAAATATTTTTTACACTGTCATTGCATAGAACTTAAACTCTATTGGAATTAGTGTGAGATTTAGAGAACGTATAGTTTATGACTTTGTATTGCAAGGTCGGAGTAAGTGTGAGATTTAAGGAATCTTTAGTTAGTTTTATTCGAGATTTGTAATTCAGTGTAGGAATAAATATGAGGTATTTTTTGGGTTGTTAGAATAAGTGTGAGATTTAGAGAACGTTTTGTTAGTTTGGTATAGATTTGTATGTCATGTTGGAGTAGGGTGAAATTTAGAGAACTTATAGTTAGTTTTTTTTTTAATTTTTTTTTATTTTTTTTATAAGGAGAACTTATAGTTAGTTTGGTCAGAGATTTGTGTTTCAGTCTAATAAGTGAGAGTCAGAGAGCCTTTAGTTTTGCAGAACCACTAGTTTTTCTTTTTAAGATAAATTATTGAGTACTTCAATGAAATAGGCCGGATGGAGCGGAACAGATATGTAAAATATTCATATGGCCAATGAAAACTTTTTTGAGATTGAGGCGTCTTCGGTTGATATTTCCTCTGTGACATTGCATAATACAGTTTCTGGAAGCCAATGTGGTTGCTTTGTATTGAATCAATCAGTCATTTTTATATTCTAAATTCATATGTTGTTAATGTTTCAGAAAACAAATTGTGGTTTCAGCCAGATTGCACAGGCAGTGGTTCTGATGGCCAAGTGGGTCCCAGCCCACGAGCATTCCACGTTGCTGTATCAATTGACTGTCATATGTTCATCTTTGGTGGGAGATCTGGCAGTCGAAGGTATGCAGATGCTACATAACTCATATGTTGTGTATTATAAATGTTGCTTCTGCCAATGCCTTTAATTGGGTATCCTCATTTTCAGATTAGGCGATTTTTGGGTTCTGGATACTGGTAAGGATTTCTTTCTACATTGGCAATGTGAGCTGCTATGCAAAGAAAAATGCATCATTATTTTTTATTTCTTCTTTTCACTATCATCGGACATTTGTGATAAGTTCACAATAATCTCTTTGATATTACACCAAGTTGTATCACTAAACAGTGCAGGTTTACATCAAACTCCTTCCAATTATACAATATAGGATAGCTCTTTTGCCTAAAATATAGTAATGATCAACAAGGAGTTATTAATCATCCATAATGGATTTTCAACTCCTTCAGAAGAATTCCTTTCTCTCTCAAATCAGCCAAAAGATGCATAGAGGATTACACTTCAGCTCCTTCCCAGTGTCCATCTTCCTTTACCTCCAGCACTCCAAAGTTTCCTCCACAGCTCTCAGTAGAGGGGTATGAAAAACAGAGTATGCTATCCGAGTAAAGCTGCCTCTAAGCCGTATACAATCCACATTCTCAC